TTTAGCACTCAGAATAGTCTCCAAGTGACCAAACATCAAACTAAGGGATTGATACCTAGAACCAGCCTTGATGTTGAGTGAGTGGGTGGGTGGGGTGTCTCTTTACCCTCATTCAAAATATGCAAATGTACTTTTATAGTCTCAAGGAGTTCAATGTCCTCCTGGGCTACACAGCAAGTAAAAAGTCAGCCTGAGCTACATGAGACCCTGTCTCAAAGCCACGGAGTGTACTTAACAGGCAAAAGAGATACTAACATACTGGATTCTGATTACTGGCTTTGAAAGCATGTAACTTGGGTTCAAATCCAGATTCCACTCTGTGTCAGGTGACCTGGAGAAGGCCATTTGATGTCTCTGGATTTTGTTTTCTCTACAAATAGAGGGGGGTTAACAGCATCCTTTGTCTTAAAGGGCTTAACTATTCTCATGCAATGCTCTTAGCACAATGCTGGCAAGAATAAGAAGCCTATGATTATCAATTGCTGCTCCAGTATTGATCCATAGGGATAACTAGACATCCTGAAGAAGGAAAGCAGCTGCGTGCTCACGTTGCAGAACTCAAGGTCTGTCTGCAGAGAGTAACGGTAACATGCAAATGAAGTACGTGCTAACCAAAGGCATGCAAATTTCATCCACTCCTTTGGTCACTCTGTTGAAGACCTAGCTTTCCTCTCAGCCACCCACCTGAGGAAGGGTGGAGACTTAAAACTAATCAGTGAGGGGACAGGTAGGTCTCTAATGGGTTGTGGCATTTGCTAGTGGCCATACATTTTAATTGGCTCTGCATTGGCTGCTCTTGAATTATCTGGTGACCTTTGACCACTACCAACAGGCTATCATCCCCTCTGACCAGAGTTCTGCAATTCAGGTCTTCTCTACTCTTATTACCTAGTCTAAAGGCTTGGAATTCTCAGATTTCTCCATCCCAACTCCATTTGATCAGTCTTCTAGGCCCCTATATCTGGGCTTCATGGGGATCAAATCCCCAGACCAGGCATTAGTCACCTACACCCCAAGGGAAAGAAGAGATGACATCAACACTACTTCTTGGATGAGTTTCCTCTATATAAGACATCCTACCCACCAGTAGGTAACCCTGGCTTTAGAAAGAACAGTTAATGACCCTGAAAAGAGAAGACATATGTTCTTTGTCACTAGCTATTTCCATTCTGGGGAACTCCTTGGATAGAACTTCATGCTTTTCTATGGGCAATCAGGGTGCTGTGGGGGACAGTGGATGAAGTCCTTTGTGAATGTGTGTTATTGACATGTGCACAGCCATACCAAGGACCCCTAATGCCTTGGACCCATGGGAATGGCAAGGCCTTCCCCTTTTCAAATACAGATGTTGTAAGCAGGGACAGTGTAAGCCCCAGACTGCTCCTCTACAGAGACCCCCATCCTACCCTACCCAGATTAGCCAACCACCTCCATCATGTCCACACACTGAGTTTCCAGGCTACTGTTGTGTCTCCATCAAAGTACTCGACCTCCATCCAATTCTAACATCCAGTTTTCTGCATATGTGCCTGTCATTTCTTCATTCTTGTTGCCCTAGTGAGGGCAGCCCCTAGGCCATGCCGTTTGCAGCACAGTGCATCTCAAAGGCAGGCAGAAATGGCTCAAGAAGGTACCACACAGTTTGTGGATCCATGACCTCCCAGACATATTTTGATGATGTAAGGGGTAAAATACATTTGAATGGAAGTTCCTAGTCTTACAAAGCAGTAAGCAGAATTTAATTGAGTAAATGAAATCCCGTCTTAGTATTAAGATCCGTTTCAATAAAGCTGGAAGATTTTGCTGACAAACTTGTAACACATAGTTTCTACTGCAACTCAGCAAGTAACCATAGTGGGCTGGTGGTTGATACCTAATGCAATTTATGTAAATGATGAAGTCATAAACCAGAGTAAGATCATCTGTGGTTGATTAGCAATGTCTGCCATAGGAATGGTGAAATAGTCCCGGTGATTAACAATGTCTACCATAAGCCATGGACATTACAAAATAAAAGTTCTTGTTTTGAAAATTAGAGTTGTGGGGCTGGAGAGATGGCTCAGAGGTTAAGAGCACTGAAGGCTCATCCAGAGGGATCTGTGTCCTCTTCTGGCCTGTAGGTACACGTGCAGACAGAATACTTTATACATAATAAATAAATAAATCTTTAAAAAAAAAGAAAATTAGCGTTGTTTGGACTATCACTGAATAATTATTTTAGGAATTATCACAGAATACAGAACAGAGAAGAAATAATTAATGCTTTAAGAGGTAGATGCATGAAGCGATGTTCAAGGATAGTTTTTTTAAACATTTTTGTTTATTTTTTGAGAATGCCATACATTTATTTTGATCATATCCCCCCAACTCCTTCCAGATCTTTCCCCACCTCCCTACCCACTAAATAAAGTCTGATTCATGCTGGCCAGTACTCCTAAATGTGAGGCAGTGGAATTAATATACCCAGCCACTCCACTGAAGAAGACTGGTTTCCCTCCAGCTATCAGTTACGAGTACCTTCTTGTCCAGGGGTGAACCTTTGTACCCACTTCCCCTCCTCCACACTGTGGTTGTGCATACCTGTTAAAGCAGGTGTGGAAATCCCCTCTCTAAGCACCGGGTCCAGTCATAGACAATGAGGTCAACTTTGATTTCTACATAGGACACTGGTTTCACTTTTTTTGTTGCCCTAAAATAATTTATTAGGCAGACTGATCTTCCAGCCACCTACACCTGCCCTTGGCACTGTTACCCCAGCCCTTGATTCTGAAACAATCTGATCAGGTCCCAAGACCTGCATTGGAAATCAGGCAAGCTCAGCGCAGGTGACTATAAATGTATAGCTGTTGGTTGTAACCAGACAGGAGATTGACATAGACCGACATACTTCTTGTACATCGGGGGGGATAGTGCTTTCTCTCTTGTCTGTAGACCTCTCCTCCATCTTTCAGACATGCCAAAGACAGGGGAGTGGGTGAACAAACTCCTAATTTGAAACCAAAGCTAGGTTTTATTGGCTTCACTTGAAGACTATTGCAGGTTGTTTCCCAGTCTGTTTTGTAACGGACTTTTGCTGTCCTGGTAAAATGGACAGATATAGGTGGTGCTGTGCAGCTCTCGACTCTTCTTGTCTGGAGTTCTGATGTGATGCCTGAAGCTGCTCTGTATCCAGGAGGATGAAAAGCCACCAAGTATCTAAGGAAGGGGTATAGAAAAGTAGGAGGGGCACAGGTTTGAAGATCACTCTGTGCCAAGCCAGCCCCGCACAACCACATGCCTTCTTTCTTGTAAGACTTTTTTTTTTCTGAGACAGGGTTTCTCTGTGTAGCCCTGGCTATTCTGGGCTGGCTGGCTTTGAACTCGGAGATCCTCCTGCCTCTGCCTCCTGAGTGCTGGAATTTATGGCATGTTCCCCCAGGCCCAGCACTCACAAGAGAATTTTTTAATGATTTCTTTTTATTTTAGTAATTATGTATGTGCATTTGGGCGGTGCCCCATGTGCGTGCAGGTGTCCTCAGATGCCAGAGAGGGCATCAGATCTCCTGGACCTGGAGCTGGCAGCAGTTCAAAGCCCTTATGATGTAGGGGCTAACTTGGATCTGTTGGAGGAGCAGCCAGTGCTCTTTAACCACTGAGTCAGCCCCTAACAACTAAACTGTAAAACTGCCACCATTCAATTTGTATTATTTGTAGCTCACAGGATGCCTTTATTTTTATTACTTCTATTTATTTATATTTATGTAGTGTGTGTGGTGTGGGTTTGTGTCCGTGTGTCTGTGTGTCACAGAGCATGTGCAGAGCCCAGGGGAGAACTTTCAGGGGTTGGTTCTCTCAGTCCCCTAAGTGTGTTCTGGGGATAGAACTCCGGATGTCAGCCTTGGTAGCAAGTACCTTTACCTGCTAAGGCATCTAGACAGCCCACTCACAGTGTTTCTAAAATAACTATTTACAACTGTGATTTGATTTCTTAGGTTTGGGACCTATACTAAGTTTGGAAGTTGCTTTAATTGGCTCTCAAATCATGTCAAACAAACAGCCTTAAAATGTCAAAGGGTCACAGAGAAAAATGTGTATGGTACCAGCAAGCAAAGGTAGCAATGGGGTCCTGAGAAGATGAAGGCAAGGAAGGCCAGGGTGATGTCTCTGCCATGTTCTGTCTGTAAGTGCGCAGTCTAGGCATCAGCAACCCTCTCTAAGCAGCACTTCCCAAAGTCCTGGATGTCAACACCTTAGAGACTTGAGTCAGAGAGAGCCCATCTGTACACACAACCTCCGCCCACCTCCAGCTTCCCCAGTAAACAAAGGCTCACTGAGTCAGCTCCTGGCACTGGGTTCCTAATCTGGAGACCACGCCTCCCCCCCTCTCTGTGTGTGTGTGTGTGTGTGTGTGTGTGTGTGTGTGTGTGCAGCTCAGTAGAGATACTGGGTCAACTGCTATAGACACCCAGTCAAACAGTTCAGTACCCTAGCACTCATAGGCAGTGTCCTTTGTTCTTGTGACCCAGGTACAAAACTCAGAATGGCCTAGGAGGACCTGTTCTTTTCAAACAGTGACATGGTACTAATTTGTCTTGAGAAGACCAGCAAGGAATCTTAGCACATCCTGGTTTACCCAATTGAAACCATCTGTGGCCCATGCTGCCTAGCCTTTCCCTATGGGCCTAAGAAGAAACTAGTAGGGGGAGGAGTAGGGGAGCACTCCTATGACTCCCCTCTGTGCCTGGCATTGTACTGATAGGTATCTTCAGAAGTAGATTGCTTTTGAGCCTTACAAGAGCAAGATACTCTTGAGTATCAAGATCAAGATACTCATGAGTTGGTTTTCTCATGAGGGAGAAAAAGTACCTTACAAAATCAACTTGGGGAAGGTTCGTTTGGGCTCACAGTTTGTGGAAAGACAATCCGTGGTGTTGGGGGTCATGTCACAGCAGGACCAGGAGCTTGAGGCAACTGGTCACATTATACACACAGTCAGGAAGCAGAAGCTATAGACACTCATGTGCAGTTGGTCTTCTTTCTCTTTTTTATTCTGTACAGGATTCCAGTCTTTGGATGGCACCACCCATATTTAGAGTGCATTTTTCCACTTGGACTTACCTAGTCTAGAAACTCCCTCATGGTCGTGTCCATAGGTTTGTATCCTGGAGATTCTAGAGTCTGTCAAGTTGGTTACAATATTAATCATCATACAGGAACTCTACAGGCTGTGGGCTATTATCCCCATTTTTCAGAGAAGGAGGTAAGGCTATAGGAGCACAGATGACTCCTCTGGGGCCCACAGTGAGGTATGTAGGCTAGTGGTCACACCTATGCACAGTAACCAGTCTTCCTTGCAATTATGCTATGCTGATAATCGGTCCTGGAACACGAACTGAAGAGACATCTAGCACCTTGCAGTTAGACTGGTAAAGTATCTTGCAAATTCCTGTTCTTGTGACTGGAGGGCAAAGACTCCAAAGTGGAGTAGCCAGAAGATGGAAGGAACCAGACCTTTGCATTGCTATCTGGAAGAGGGTTTGCCATTTATCCTTTTGGACCATGCAGTTCATCACCTTGAGTGGATTTGTTGTAGAAGAATGATCAAAATCATTCTGATTTCTGCAATGGCCTCATTTCCTCCAGAGTCCATGATAAGCCAGTAGGGGATTCTCTGAAGCAACCAGACACGGGCATTGCACAAACTCACAGGCCCAACACAGCCGCTGGGAGGGGAAGCCCCTTCAAATGGAGGGTAGCATGTAGATGAAGAAGACACACCAGGAGCTCTCTCGGGCATGCTTTTCCACTTTTCCTTCTCCAGCCAACTCGGCCCTTGGACAAAACAGAATTTGGAAAATACACATTTCATGGAATCGAATGTAGCTTCAGGTTGTGCTTGAAGTTGGTGGAGGTGGAGAGTAGGGGAGGGAGCTGTATGGTAATAATGTCTGGAACATTCTTCCTAAGAGCCATGGCTCCACTTTTGCTTCTTAAACACGGGAGGAATGAAGTCCAGGTTCTTTCTGCTGTGTTCCCAAGACTCGTGAAAGCCAGACACTGGATTCCTGGTGAACCTAAAAGGAAAAGCCCAAATAAGTCCACAGTGTTACTGGGGAAATGACTTGAAGGACCAGTGTTTCTGATTTTTCAGGTACATGCTCCAGGCTGGGATATACTTCAAGAAGCTGAACCATAATCATCATACAGGAACTCTACAGGCTGTGGGCTATTATCCCCATTTTTCAGAGAAGGAGGTAAGGCTATAGGAGCACAGATGACTCCTCTGGGGCCCACAGTGAGGTATGTAGGCTAGTGGTCACACCTATGCACAGTAACCAGTCTTCCTTGCAATTATGCTATGCTGATAATCGGTCCTGGAACACGAACTCAAGATCATCTTTTATTGAGAAATTGTCAAAAAAAAACAAAAAAGGAGGTGGGGAAATGGATTAGTGCACTGGAAAAAGGCTAGAGGCTGGGAGTGAAAAGCAACAAAGGTTTGGCATAGAGGATTTTGCATCCTATTCTGCAGTTCACATTATATAGCATCTTCCATGGTATGTGACTGCTGATAAATATTCATTGGAAGGAGGAATGACCTAATGTAATGCAAATCACATGCAAAGAATATGCAAATCAACCCATTCTATGAAGTCAATAGGTGAGGTACCATGCATGTTAAAACTACAGAGCAACAGCTTCCAAAGACCCAGGAGAGGCTCCTAATACTAGCAGGGACCTTCCATTCTTAAAGGGACCCCATAGTCAGAAGGGACTCTACTGTCAAAGAATGCCACCAAGCATGAAACAGCCAAGCAGGGGCAGTGAGATGGCAGCAGAGAGAAAAATAGACATGGGGACAATGGCTGTTCCCTTCATCCTTGTCAAGGCAGCTTCCAAACAAGTTCTCCTTCCTGGCCCTCCCATCCTGATCACATCTGATAGTGATTGATTGGTCAAGTCAGCTGAGTGACAGGGAGGCAGGCTGATCTGCTTGTACATTAGCCACGCTACTCAAGATGGCTCCTTCAAGCCCCCCAACAAAAGAGCAAGGGACACGGAGCGGGAGCAGGAAGAGCGAGTCCCCAGCGCCACACCCAAGGCGTTTACAGGCTTTTGTATCCTTTGAAAGCTTGCTTCCCTCGAGCGTTGCAGGCTCACACCAGGACACAAATGCTTCGCACAGATCTACATGCAGACACACAGAAAGCAAGAGAAGCCCAGAGTCACGTGGATCTGGATTCTTCTGCTTTTAGCATCCTCTGGGAACCGCAGGAGGGGCTGATGTCATGAATTCTCTAGCCCCAGAGAAGGTCACAAATTGTTTCGGATTGGAACCCTTGGCTCTGTTTGCTTTCAGTGACTCTCAGACCTCCTGACAGGACAGGCGGACATGGAAATAAGTCAGGGGTGACCCTGTTGCTGACCCGTAGCCTCACCAGCCGACTCCTGATTGCAACCTTCTGGCTTCAGTAACAGCCTTTAATTCAGGCCTTCTGGCTTCTCGGAGGCCACAGTTGCAGTTCAGCGGCAGTAAACAAGGGTCAGGTCAGATGTTCTATGCCCTCGGTTCACAGTGTGACAAGCCAAGGTAGGAAGAAGGTGGGGAGCAGGGGGTGGGGTAGGGGCACTTCAGGAAGGAGCAGAGAGAAGAAGGTTCTAATCATTCAGCAAACCCATACCTCCCTTTGCCTAAGTGCCCATCTTTTAAGCCCATGCGCAGAGCTGGTGTATTTCAGTCATGGGATGCAAACCTAATATGTGTGTTTGGATCCTGACTCTCAAAGCCCTACCTTCCAACCTCTGCTGGAATTAGATCATAAAAGCCACTCTCACAGCTATGCAGTAATACAGTAGGGCATGAAGGCAGACTCTGACTAACGTTTATATATACACAGCACAGACACTATTTATGAGGGCCACACACACACACACACACCTTTGCATGTACCTTCATTGTCACACCTCTGTAAACAGGGACATGGGCTTTTTTTTTTTTTTTTTACAAAGGATCTTATATGTGAGGCAACTTACACCAAAGAATGGAGGTGTTCTGCTCTCTACAGCCCGGGGCATGGGGTCAGCAACACCGCACGCAGACAGTGGTGTCTCTCAGGATGAGTGGGATACTTCCTCCCATCCAGCTGTCCCCGTTTCAAAGATGCTAAACCTGAGACCCCGCAGGAAACACCTCCACAGGTGAAGGCAACACTTCTGGGAAGTAAGGATGGAACTTGGGGTGGGAGATGGGCTGAACTTCCAGTGTAGGTGGCTCTCCAGTCCACAACCACTAAGCATGGTTGTCAGATGCTCATCCCTGTCCCCCAAACCCCCACCCCAGGTCTGGCCCCACCACTTCAGCAAGCACTCACAGTTGGAGCCCTGACTCCTGTAGCAATGTGCTTATATGCCAACTGGACCGTTTCTAGTGAGTAGATCCTATTGACACAAAATAGTGCCAACAGGGCTGACTGGGGTCTTGCCTCAGTCAGAAATGGGCTGCCACACCAAGGTCAGGGCCCGGCTTTGGATCCCCAGCACTCATGTAAAAAGCCAGGCACATCAAGGTACATCCCCCCACTTCTAGGGAGATAGAGTCAGGCAGATCCCTGGGGTTCACTGGCTAGCCAGTCTAATCAGTGAGAGACTGTCTCAAAAATAATGAGTCATTAAAAGCCCAGCATTGACCTCTGGACCCCAGACACTGGTGCATACATATTCTCGGGGAGACTGCATATGCGAATACAACACCACCAAGATAGCTTGAACTCCGAACATTGAACAACTCTAGTAATCTCTTAAATTCTGATGGACCTCTCCCAGCCCACAGGCCATGGCTGACCCGGGTTCTTCCACAAGTTACCTTTGCTCTGTTTCTCCAGCTCAAATTCAAACACATCCTATCTTTAGAAGAATTTATTTTCAACTCCAAGGTCCTTTCAGGCTTAAGAAGTTGCAAGGCAAATAATGTAAAAAGATGAAAGTTGCCGGGAGGAAGTGCATGCCGATAAGGAGAGCTTTACAGGGCTGTAAACCCAGGCCTTGACTCTCTCTGGAGGCACTGGACTGTCTTTCCAGGCTTTTCTAGACTCAGCCCCTCTCTGCAGGAGAGCAGCCCCCTCGGTAGGAGAAAATTCATACACTATTGAACACGCTCCTCCTCCGGTGACAAGCGCTCATCTGAGCTTCCATTTTGCAGAGCTGGTGGCAGGTGAGCCGCCTGTTTTGTTTAGTTGTTTCAGTGACTGGCGTGTGTTGAGCTGGACAGGCTTTCTGAAATGCATGTTTTGCTTTTGCAACCTGGGACACCTTTGTGGCCCATGGCCATGGGGAGCTCTGCTCGGCCCCACATCAGGAAGGCTTCAGAGTAACATCTACCATGCCACCCAGGCAAGATTCACAGTCACCAAGGTTAAGCAGGATGAAGTCCTTTGGGGGGAGGAGCTAGCATAGTGTATAACAAGGGGTTCTAACCCTTTCTATCCCGGACAGTTTGCTGGATGAGGACCTTTCTTTGAGTCCTAGCTCGGATGGCCCCGAATTGCTGAACTAAGAGAGCCATTTTACTCTCACACTTCCATTTGTTATATAAAGGATGAGTAAGTAGTTGGGAGTGTGTCTCTCACTGAGCCTGGTGGGAATGGATCAAAGCTGAAGCCCTGGGCTTGATTCCCAGCACTGTGTAAATAGGGCGTGGTGGTGGTGGTACACTTTTAGGCTGGAGGCAAGAAGAGTTCATGGTTATCCTTAACTAAGCTAGCCGAGTTCAAGGTCGGCCTGGGCTACGTAAGAACCTATCTCTAAAAAAGAAAAAAACTGAGGTAAAGAGTGAACAGATCAAGCGGTTCCTGATTAGTAGAACTCACTACCACGTCATCAGGGGGACAGGTGATTGTCAGACTTCCGAGACTGACCAAGCTGAGATGCCATGCGTGGGAAGAGACAGTATTGGATCAGTTTTAGGCAAGACTGGCCCCTGAAGGCAGGAGGCCCTAGAGGCCGTTGTGAAGGTCATACATGGGTCTAGTTTCTTCCACAAAGGGCATGCTCTTCAGGCTGAAGTGAAGTCTTCATTCTTTGGTGCAGAGAGCCCCTGTATGCTGTGTCCCAAGTCATAGCTCCCTGCTGCACACGCCACATATGAAAAAGACACTGAAACTTGAATGCCAGCCATGAGAAGGCTCAGAACGAGTTCAGGCTTCCCCCAACGGACTAGATTTCAGCCAGGGCAGAGATGAGAATAAAGGCTGAGAGCTGGCCATCCTTGTCCACTCTCTTAAGAAGCATGGCCAGATGTCTTCATGTTGTTTAGATGGGCGGGGGAGGGGAGGCTGGAGAGATAGCTCAGTGGTTAAGAGCACTGGCTGCTCTTCTAAAGGTCCTGGGTTCAAATCCCAGCAACCACGTGGTGGCTCACAACCATCTGTAACAAGATCTGGTGCCCTCTTCTGGTATGGATGAAAGTGAAGCGCTCATACACGTAAGATAAACACATAAATAAATGTTAAAAATAAAAGCAAGTCAGACGACCCCTCTTCTCTCTCTCTCTCTCTCTCTCTCTCTGTCCTGTCCTCCCCTCTTCTCCTTTCCCTCCTTTTCCTGTTCTGATGTCTCCCTCTCCTTTCTTCCCCACCCTCCTTGATATTCCCCATGGGAAACGCATGCATGGCAAGGAGACAGAAGAGCCAGAGGTGCTGATGGTAAGTCTATCTCCAGGGACACTAGCCACAGTGCTTTCCTTTGTTATTGTCACCAAAGGGTAGTAAAAACTACATGCATAGAGTGAACTATAAAAGCACATTCCCCTTCTGAGAATGGGGAAATATGAAAATATCGAAAGGGGAAAAGGCTGGAAAGGGGCTTCCAGCAGACCCTTGTCCAAAGGAGGACAATGCTAGAGGCGTCCGCAGCTCTGGTCTCTTGTAAGAGAGAGAGGAGGGGAGGTGAGCAGATGTGTCTGGAGAAATACTCCACGCCACTTTCAGAAACAGCCGATGTCACATCTCCCTGGCAAGACTGACTCTCAATAAATGATTCCCAGAGGGAGGCTGCAGTGGCTGTGTTTACTTAAAGG